AAGTCCTATGAAGTTACACATCTGGTATATCTGTGTATGATTGAATCACTGAATCCCAACATTGTCGAATCATTGAATCCTAAGATTGAATCATTAAATCCTAATATTGAGTCATAGACTGATTCTAAGATTGCTGAATCATTGAATCCTAACATTGAATAATTGAATGCTAAGAGTTGAATCACTGAATCCCAAGATTGCATTATTCGAAGCCAAATTCCTAAGAGCTTCTGTGACCCACTCCTGAGATGGGACAGTTGCCAATGGTTGTGGAAGGAATTATTGTAGTCTTCTTTTTCCTAAAGTCTATCACTGAGCATTTCCTTACATTTTTTCCATTCATTTGCAATATTTCCTCTTCTGTAAATGCCAATATACTATCAATATTATGTCGAGTGTTGTCAATCAACGTTATCAACCAACCGTCTTCATCATGAACTATTTCTGTAACTTCCGAGATAGGGTCGTATCGTTCATCACGTCGCCCAAAGTAGCTTGTGGTAGCTGATTTATCTTGATCACAAACGATAAGTGAACCCAATGCACTTCCTTGCGTAATTCCACCATTGATTCTCTTAATTTGAGATTGCTCTTCTCCGACTGCAGTAACTACCAAATTGAGAGTTGCTATATATTCATAAACGTCTTCGCAAAGCCATTCGACAGTGAAGGATAGTTGTACTTCTTACAAAATACTCAACGTACTGTTCACTGTCTAATTCCAACGTAGGTTTAAAGTGCCTATGACATGAAATTTCACCCCAAATGTTTATGGTTGCATCGTAAAGATCACTTAAAATGACTTAATAATTTATTTTATAGAATTTTCGTAACTTGCTTCCTTTTCAAGATATTCAACTTTGTTTCGTATGCAAATATCACCGGTGTGACATCACATCGCATAATGAGTTTTCTGAAAAGTATAGTTTTCTTGACGAATACGTATCTTAGAAACTTAAAAATTGCCCTTGTACATGTATTTATTTCATAACTGGTAATTAACCCTCTGTATTTGTTTTTAAAAATATTTTGTCAAGGTAAAATATTGCGTTTTCAAAATGTCATTATGCGATGTGATGTCACACCGGTGATATTTAATAATAATAATTAATAATGGTTTATTACATTCACTAAATAGCTTGATGAGCTAAAATACAGTGATGTTTACAGTGATAGAACTTTTACAATGATAAAATGTAATGTAAAAAGTATTAATACTATGGTCTCTACTTTACTAAAGCTAGTTCAATGTAAAAAGTCTTAAAACTATTGTCATATTTACAGATAGAATTATATTATGTTAGTTATTACTCACTATAATATATAAACCCTCATGCTTACTTATCAATATAAAGATTATATTTGCCAATTGCATATACAATTGGACTATGTTTAAAACGTTCTGTTTTACATGCAAAGTTATAGTACGTTGCCTCATTCATTCTCGTTTCTCGTTGCTTTATTTGGGAAGTTTTCTTTGGTAAGAGGTGGTTAAGTTTATGATTCGGGTTTGACATATCCTTAATAAGTTGGACACACATGTCATCGCGTCGGTCGGTTAGCGTTTTGAGGTTCGATTCCATTAGTGCTTCATGGTATTTTAGTTCCGGATAAATTATCCTTAACGCTCTTTTCTGGATTCGCTCGATATCTTCGCTTTGCTCCATTGTCAACCCGCCGTTCCAAACTTGGGCGCCATATTCCAAAACTGATCTCACTACTGCTACGTAGAAAGTCTTCAGAGCTTCTTTTGGCGCATTATAACTCTTTAGAATCTTCATAAAGTATAGTCTCTTAGCTGCCTTTTTTGTGATGTACTCAGTGTTCGTTTTCCATTTAAGGTCATCGTCGAACCAGATACCCAGTAGCTTGTACGATCTTACTTTAGTGAGAGACTGCTCCCCTAATGTAGTTGGGGGTATAACCGTTTTATTCTTACGAAAGTCGATGTGCATTTCTTTGCATTTTTTAAAATTCAGTTGCATATTTTCGTCGTTCGTAAATTGTAATACACTCTCCAAATTACGTTGGGAGTTGCCGATCGATTCTCCAGAGATATGATCGGAAACGTTTAAAACTTCAGACATGGTAGTGTCATCCATAAACATTGAAACAGTATCACTGTTCTCATCATCAGATGACTGAACCACTGATGGGAGATCGTTTATATGAACTATGAAGGCTAAGGGACCGATTTTACTACCTTGTGGCACCCCACCTTTAATATATGCAGGGTCGGAAAAAGTGTTTCCGACTTTTGTAACTTGTGATCTGCCTTGGAGGTATGACCCGAGCCAAGCTAGCAATGCTGGTCTAACACCTATTTTCTCGAAGTTCTGGAGTAACTTATTGTGGTCAATTAGGTCGAACGCTTTTCGAAAATCCAGGAAAATTATTCTCACCACATTCCCATGGTTCTCCATAGCCGAATACCAGTTGTGTGCAAGACAGACAAGTGCTAAGACTGCCGAAGAACCTGGCAGTCCTCCAAATTGAGCTTCGCTCACTTTTCCTTTTATATCTTCACGTACCCACTCAACAACATACGACTCTTGAACCTTGGATAGGACGCTAGTGAGAGAGATTGGACGCAGGTCTTCAACATTCGAACAAGGCGTAATCTTCGGAATCGCGCAGACTGTGTAAAATTTCCAAATTTGGGGAAATATTCTTGACATGAATGATTCGTTGTATATATCGGCCAAAGGGATAGCAAAATATTTCGCGAACATCTTGATCAATTTCATGTATGGGTCGTATGGACCGGCTGCCTTCCCGACGGTAAGATCACTCAGTCTTTTGGCAACATTTTCATCAGTAATTGTTGGGAGGGGATCTAGTTCACCCCGTGATAGCCAATCTCCCCGTACTTCCGAGAAGTCGTTTGTAAGACTTGAGAAGAATGAATTTATGTGATCAGCCGTTTGCTTATTATTCATTGGTAGTTCGGAGATGGGGTCAAGAAGCGTTGGTGAGGTATTTCTCTTCTTTCCAACGATATCGTTTATGTTATTCCACCATATTTTAGGATTTTGTCGATAAGTTGGGAGGATTTTTTCTTCATAAAATTTTCTTTTGCTCACGCGAATCTCCGATACAATTTGGTTTCGAATAGTCTTGAAGAGAATGTATTTACCGCTCTTGTAGGCTTTGTTTCGCTTACTAATCAAACTTTTAATTTTTCCAGTTATGAAGGGTTTGTCTTCATCATGTGCTTTAATTATCTTTGTCGGAAAATAAAAGTCAATAATGTTATGGGTTATTTCCAAAAAAACTATCGACCTTGTTATCTACATTATTTTCAGAAAGAACTGGTAACCAGTCATAGTGTTTTAGGTATTCTTCGAAGCCTTGTAGAGACGATTGTTTTAATGGTCTAACCTTGACTTTTCTTATGGCGTTTTTTCGAGTTACATGAACTTTGGCATCTAATAGGATAGTTGCATGATCTGACGTTGCAATTGGGGCGAGAATTTTTGGGGTCTCGAAAAATGTAGATGTATCTGTAAATAATAGGTCGAGAGTGTTTGATCCTCTTGTAGGATTCTTAATAATTTGTTTCAATTTGCTATACCTGACTAATTTGGCGGGACGAAATCCGTTGCTGGTAGGGTTAAAATCTCCTGCTATAATAAAGGATGTGCTAGGACTTTCCGAGATCAATATGTCATAACAGCTGTAAAAATAGTCGTAAAAGCGTTCTACGTCTTCAGATGTCGTTGATGGTGGCAAATAAACCACAGCTACTGCTATTCGAGAAATACATCTAGGTAGCCAAGTTGGTCGAAGGATAGCCCAGAGGCATTCGAAAGGTGATTGAGAAAAATCGTGTCGTGTTTTGGTGGGGATGCTATTGGAAATATAAAGGACTACACCGCCACCTCTGCGACCGATTCTATCTTTCCTTATAGATGTCATACCCGGCAGTTGAATAGCCTCGTCCGGGATTTTATCACACAGCCATGTTTCGGTGACAAACACCAGGTTGGATTTATATAGTTCCACTAAGTTTGCAAGCTCGTCCGTTTTACTAGCTAGAGACCTTGTATTTAGGATCAAAACGTTCGGTAACCTTCGTTCATTGTTAGAATTTGGTATATCTTGTGAATCCACTAGAGGGATACGTATTAAATTGTTCCTGATCGATCTCTCAAAATAATTTAGTTTTAGTCCTTTTCTAGAGGTAATCCTAACGGGTATAGGTTGAAAATGGGTAAGGGGGTTGGATGTGTTAAAACAACGGGGGGTAGGCAGTGAGGATTCATGTGATTCTCTCCCACCCTCTTTAGAATTTACTTTGTCGTCAGCCGGCGAACAAGATCTAAATGCGCCAACCATTCCGCCCCTCGAACATGAGGCAAGGGTGGGGGACGCTCCAAAAAGCTCAGCCGAAAAGGACAGTTATTAGCATTGTCACACTCAGACACGCATTCGTCACCGTCTAAGACAATAAATTCAGAGATATCAGCTGGTATTTGGCCAAAGCACACATGCTGAGTAACTGTCTCAGTGCTCGTTGTATTATCATTCAATATATTTGATGGGTTTTCTAAAAAGGTTTCCTTCCTCTGAGTTACAAATGGCTTGGATATTTCGATAAGAGGCAAGTTTCCAAGCGACTTCAGCGACAATGGCTCACAATAAGGGGGAAAGGAAGCAAGTTACGAAAATTCTATAAAAGAAATTATTAAGTCATTTTAAAGGATCTTTACAATGCAATCATAAACATTTGGGGTGAAATTTCGTGTCATAGGCACTTTAAGTTTCATAAATTACCCTATTTTTATATAAAATGCAAAGTTATTTTTATGAGGTTTATCGCAAATACGAAGCCATCGATATTCAAAAATCATTTAGTTTTACGAACATTTGAAAACGTTTTACGAAGCGTTATAGCCTATACTAGCCATTATTGCTTATTTATGTACGTAGCCGGTCGGGGCGGGCAACAATTGTTCACTTATTGCCCGGGGGGATACATTGCATTTATCTGAAGCGACGTGACCACGACTCAGCCAAACACGTTTATATAGTTTCAGCACTAGCTATATAACAATGAAACTTATATTACGCACAAAGCATAAATATTTTAGAAATTATTGTGTTACCATGACAAGCAGCTTAATACTTCATATTTGGACAGGGACCGCGGAGGTATTTTTTTATTGGGGGGGGCGGGGCTAGCGAACGCCGAAGGCGTGAGCGTTCTGAGGGGCTCCGGGGGCATGCTCCCCCGGGAAATTTTGAAATCTGAGACCTCTCAGAGCCCCAGAAATGCAATGAAACCTGCTAGTTTCTCTTAATTAAAAAGTTTCTTGAACGATTCTTAAGCAAGCCATTATGTAAGGGTAAAATTTATTCGCTTAGTACATTTTCCTTGATTTTTTTCTTCGAACTTTATCGCCTTATTTAAGCGTAATTTAAATTGCATTTTCCATACTTATCGTCTCTACCTTTTTTAGAAATGTTTTTTTTCTGGAAGGTGTTCAATAATAAAGGAATACCGAATGGTTTTCCGTGCAAGATTGCGTGATCCATACACGAGGGATGTCGCGAGACGTTCGGAAAGCGTAAAAATACTCGAGCCGCAGGCGAGTGTATTTTTACACTTTCCAAATGTCGAGCAA